TCACCCAAAGAACGATTCACTACCTCCGTCTGTCCATCTGTTTGAGGGTGGTAAGTACTACTGAAATTAAGTGACGTGTTAACTGACTTCCACAAACTCCACAAAAAATGACCGATGAACCTCGTCTCTCTGTCAGACACAATAGAAGTGGGCAAACCATGAAGACGATAAACCTCCCTGAAGAATAGTTGGGAAACCTTGACAGCGTCATTGGTACGTTTACAAGGAATGAAGTGTACCATTTTGGAAAACCGATCCACGACTACAAAAATGGAGTCATGACCACGTTGTGTGCGCGGTAAACCCAAGACAAAATCCATGCTAGTATTGGAGCTGAAGTCAAGCACTCCTTAATAACCACAAACGCCTCATCAGCCTCAGGAGTCCACTGAAACTTGCTCTCTTCATGCAATCAGTAATGGGAGACATGATGGTACTAAAGTGTTGAATAAATCGTCGATAAAAGGACGTCAAACCATGGAAACTCTGCACATCAGAAACTGATTTAGGCTGGGGCCACTGTCGGATCGCATCAATCTTAGCTGAATCCACCGCCACCCCACTGGCTAACACAACATACCCCAAAAACAGAACACTATCGGTATAGAAAACACACTGGTTACGGGTTACGAAGAATTGTACCTTGCACAAAACGACAAGGGTATCCCTTAAATGCACACCATGAGACTCCTCGGATCCACTATACACCAATATGTCATCGAAGTATACGACCACACACTTACCGATAAAAGGGCGAAGGGCTTGGTTCATCACCCCCATGAACGTGCTCAATGCATTGGATAAACCGAATGGCATAACCAGCCACTCAAATAATCAAATAATCTCCCTTAAATGCACGCCATGAAACCAGTAAAATGCTGTTTTGACTAGGAAAACGACGTCAAACGCCCAAAATCCATCATAAACTTAGTTATACCACTTTCTTTGAGCGCCGACAATCCAAGCGCTCCAAATATGCAATCGCATGTTCCTCCACATTAGCCTCATCATTCTCCCTGGGGTTAATGAGATTCGCCCTCGAATCAGAACTGGTAGCACCGTCTTCTATGTTATCGCCATGGTAGGGTAAAAGATGTTTCACATTAAAGACATCAGAAGTTCGGATATGAGAAGGAAGGCGAAGACGGTAGGCGTTGGTGTTAATCTTCTATGTAATTTCCACAGGACCAATGGTACGAGGTGATAACTTCAAATATTCATGGGAAGGTACTCGATCCTTGGTCAACACTGCCTAAACATAATCCCCAACATCAAATTCAACAGGACGCCAATGCTGACCAGCCGCCTCTTTATACTGACGGTTAACAGATTAGCCCGAGTCTTCTCATGAACCTGCTGCAAACTACGAACAAAGTCAACTGTCGTAAAACATATACGAATCAATTCCATAAAACTTCACAGCGAACATCCAAAATAATTTAAGTTCGGAATCAACTAATTAAAGCAACGATGATTCAAACAGAGGTTCAACATAAAAAATATTTTTTTACAAAAAAACTCAACACTATTTTATTATTATTAACCCTAATGAACAATAATTTTACCCTAAATGGCCAAAATTGGGTAACAAACCTTTAAACTATGGCAGCGGCATGGTGATAAATTAATTGTAGAAACCAAACGAGTCGATTGAGAGAAATCTGAGCTGAAATGTAACGATCGGAACTGAGCCAATTGAGAATAATAGGATTGATAATTACGGCCTCCATGTGTGGGCTGGGTAGCTTATAGCTTATGTCGGGAGTGCAGCCATACTTGCTGTCTGGTCTGTAATTTAGGAGATGTCGCAGGTTCGATCTCGAATTCCATTTATTTATGCCCAAGTTAATAATTGGTTTATGATGAGAAATAGTGAAAATAATAATAATAACAATAATAATAATAATAATAATAAATTTGCACAACGAAATATATAAATGAGCCACGCTAGTGATACAATCGCGGTTGACAACCACTCACATGGGTTATCCAATTTTTGTTTTTTTTGAATTTTTTAAACATGCGGGCCCCGCCTATATGTGAGAGATTGTCAACCGAGATTGTACAAATAGAATTTTTCTATGTGAATAATGTAGTTATGAATTACGATTAAAATTAATATTTGAATTTAACTCAATTTATAAATCGTTTGTAAATTTATATCCAAATGAAGGCTATATCTTTTACAGGGATGACCAAATGATGGTCTTGTTCTACTCTTTCTTATTTGATTTTTGTGTTTTAAATTTTAAATGATATTTTAAAAATAAAAATAAATAAGTAAATGGGGGTGGAAAATAGGGATATTTTTAATGATTGTGCTACATGTACATAGATGGTGTTTTGTGGAGATTAAAATTGAATTTTTAGTGGATTGTGATAGAAATTTTTTAAATGTGTGGTTGAAAAGATGTGAGATTCATGAAAGATGTGGTTAATATTGATTGTTTGACTTTGACTTAGATTAAAATCAGATTTTAATCCCGCCCAAACATGCCCATAATATGTTTGTATACACGTGATGTGGTGAGATATAATTTGATTAAAAAAATTTCAACAACCAAAAAAAAATAAATCTCCACTCTCTTTTTGACATGTCATTTGTATGTGTATTATTATGTAATTATTTATGTACAAGTACTATTATTCTATTTTAATCTATGTCGTCGTCTCTCAAACATTCCGACGGTCGAGGAGACGGGGGAGGGCTGCGCTAGCTCAACCTAGCCCCTTTATGTACCTAATTTTTAACAAAAAATTGACTTGCTCCATTAAACTTCAAGGCAGCAAAATAAGTAATTTATAAATAATGTACTTTTAAACCCGGCTAAACGTGCTCGAGACTATACAATTCATGCCGAGTGCTTCTTCACAAAATAATAATAATAAATAAATAAAATAATCTTACTGTTAAGGTAAGCACTGAATAAATCTTTTAGCTCTGTATCACCTCATATTTTCTGTCGTCGAGTGATTAAATTTGTCTTGTAGTATTACTTTATTTCAGATCGTAGGCCACAATCAAACGTCAATAGGGCTAGCAAAATATAGATTGCTTTTAAGACATAGATTAGAGTTATGTGATGAATATTCATTTTGAACCAGTAGAATTAGACCAAGCCGACCGATTGTACTCAACAATTTGAACTCAACAGAATTTTCCTAATGCATAAAATCAACCGAATTGAACCAAATCACGTATGGTCTTGGCTTCATCACTGTAGGTGTACCTGTTCAGTTCAGTTTAAATTGTTTAATTTCCTATTGAAGCTCGATTGATGCAATTTCTTTGGAACCGTTTCGCGCGGATTTATCGAGCCTCACTAACAATTAAACGATGATTCAATCGATTATATAAGGAACAAACATTTTGAGACAAAGTCTGAATGATGAGTGCTTTATTTATGAAGATTACAATGAAAAAGAAACAGAACGCCTCCATGGAACACAAGCACTCCAAGTAATTTGAAAGTTGACGATAAGAACTAAAAGAAATAAAATTACATATTCTCTGTTTGAGAGTGATTGATTTCGAGCCTCCTTCTATGTCTTCTTTTTTTCTTTTATATTCTTTCGCCACTTTTCCTTGTGAAACAGTTTGGAAACTGCTTGTCGCTCTATAACTACCCACCTGCTTCATAATGGCTGACGTGTCAAGGAACTGCCGTTTTTAAACTGCTGCCACTACTCTCCAGTCTCTCCTTAACTGCTTGCAACCGAGATTCTTGGATCGTGATAAGACTGCTCAATAATTGTTTCAATAACCGCCGCTTTAAATAACAACAAGACGCTATGTTCGCTCAAATCTTGGGCGTCTTCGAAGGTTTGGACGAAAATGAAACTGTAGTTTTGAGCGACAATAAGGTATTTCATTCGCCCAGATTCTAACATGGTCCATTGAATTATGTCCATCCCCATAATTACTCGTAATTATAAATTCTAAGGTACACAAATAACTGCAATTGGACATGTGTGAACGGAATTAGATCAGGATAATAATGTAACATTACAAGATTATAAAGTGAACAATATTTTAGGCCACTATGCTTCCACTTTATGCTACATTCTTGGATTCAATAAAATGATATCTTTGGACGGCAGCTCAGGTGTCGATTCTTTAGTCCCTTCAGAGGCATTGGGCAAAAAAGATTGGTCATTGGTGGTTCACAAAATAATTATTTTTTTGCAAGTTGCTTTTTTTCATCCAACTTGCTACGAGAAATTTCCTTTTTGGTTTTATCACTTTGTTCCCCTGTTAAGATTCCAATAAAGAGCCATTGGATGTTTTGATCTCTTTTTTACTTCTTGTTATTGGATAAGTTTCCACTATTATTTTATTATTCAAATCATCGAATAATTAACTATCGACAAATTCCTCTCACCTCAAATCATGAAGAGATCTCTTGCCTTTTATTTTGCATAAGACACATTTTGTGTTATTGTCTTTAAGCTTTTTTAGGTACTCTATATCTATACTATCCTCAAAAAAGTAAAGATTAAGATATTATTTTTGCTTGTAAAGAGAATTTATGCGTCAAATAATTTTTTTTGTAATACCTTAAAAATGTTAAGGGAAAACTTCAATAATGATCGATATGTATAGTGTCCCATCAATATCATAAAATCATATTTAGTTGTACTTATCATTTAACGCTACTTACATATCATATAAGTAATGTTCCATGGTATTTGATAACATTATTCTTATTGTGCAGTCTCATTTCAATGTTCCACAAATCAAATTTCGACACATCATTATGAGTTCGAGTGTCAAGATTTTAGTGAGTTTGGCGGGACACCATTCTGAGGGCATCTTTTGTCTTGTCATTTGCATTTCAATAGATGCTCAACTTTGCCGACTTCCTGTCTTACCTACGCTACATCAGTTTTTTATCTGCATCAAACACTAACTTCTCCTCTCTCTCACCCTACAAAATTATCGTAAGTTTTATATCTACGGCAAACACTGAGAGCTCTTTTTCACTAGAAAATCAGAGAATATGTTCAAGATTGGATTAAGGTTAGTTTCTCTCTCTTCGTTTACTTCTTCAATCAAATATAAGTAAAAAGAAAAATCTTGAAACGTGTTTCTGTGTTTCTTCTTTATAGACAGAGATCTGGCATTTGTTCATAAATCTCATATTTTAAAATTTGTTTCGGCATAATATATCAGGAGCAACTGCATTTCAAGAGCTTTTCTCACTAAAAGCTCCATCAGGAAATTTTCTGCGAGGTCAGTTGAGATCCCTCTTCCCCACACACCAATACATACACACACAATTCTCAAATGACACGATCCTTCCGTCACCCCGAGGCCCGAGACGAATTTAAGGGTGATCTCGTAGTTCATTCTTTTCCCATTGAGACCTAACATAAATCTGCTCGGGAGAGAGTATCCAATGATAGGTTTTGGATGCTGTTTTAGTGGTTTAGGTTTGAAGTTTTGGTATGAGTTAGGCCCCACCTCCCCTGGCTAATAAATGTCAAATAATTTAGTCTTCTTGTTGCATATGTTAATATGGTTGGTTACATATGAACCTTAGCAAAATTTTTGTAAAAGATATTCATTAACAATAATTAAGAAAATAAATTCACATAATTATGAATTCAGCAGAAATCTACTAAAGAGCAAGAAGGTAAAACATTAGGTTTAGTATATAACCCTTTTGTCATTAAGGTTTACAATATAGCCTCTTTTTGGTACCGAGATTTTAATCTAAGTCAAAATCAACAATTAATTTTATGGGTTCCATAACTTTTCAACCATGTATTTTATCAATTTTTTTCAACCTAGATTGGTGCTAAGCACCAATTTGGTAGTAGCATCATTCTTGCTTAAAATTATTAGTAACTTTTAGAATAAATAATAGCGAGTTCTACGAAATGCATGGGTAATAAAACGAATACTAGTTATAAATGGATGATTAAATTTAATATTTAAGTTTGACTATATATATAGTAAAAAAAACTTTGTGACAACTTTTAAAAAGCCAAACAGAGGTAATTATGTCAAAATTCTCCCGATTTAATTTTTATCACTAATTTTCGACTTTTCCCCATAAAATGCAAGGTGGTAATATATATTTTCCCTTTAAATTGAAAAAAGAAAATCGCATCAAATGACCGGACACATTTTAGATAAAACAGGAAAAAAAAAGAAAGGCATTTTATCAAGCTGTTTAGGTGCAACGAGCACGTTTGGCCGAACTTTAAAGCAGTTAAAAATAATTGCTGACTTTTAAGCTCAGGCAAACATACATTGGAAATCAAGTGTAATATGGTAGTTCTTTCGTTTATGCAGTAAACTAGAAGGCAAAATAGCATTAATCACTGGCGCAGCAAGTGGTATTGGAAAAGAAACAGCAAAAAAATTCATAAACAACGGCGCAAAAGTAGTGATTGCCGATATTCAGACAAAACTGGGCAAAGAAACAGCCACAGAACTTGGAACCCATGCCAGCTTTATTTCATGTGATGTCTCAAAAGAATCTGACATTGCACATGCAGTGGATTATGCAGTCTCTAACTATGGTCAACTTGATATCATGTTTAATAATGCAGGAATTGCCTGTCACACTCCACCGACCATAGTCGACCTTGATCTTGCTGCATTTGATCGAGTCATGTCCATCAATGTTCGAGGAGTGGTGGCCGGGATCAAGCACGCATCCCGGGTTATGATTCCCCAGGGACATGGATCAATTTTGTGCACTTCGAGTATCACAGGAGTGTTGGGAGGGTTGGCGCAGCACACGTACTCAATATCCAAGTCGACGGTTGTAGGAGTTATGAAATCTGCAGCGGCAGAGCTGTGCAGGTATGGTATCAGAATCAACTGTATATCACCCTTTGCCATTCCGACACCGTTCGTGATCGAAGAAATGAGAGTGTACTTTCCCGGGGTTGATGATCAGGGGCTCGCGAAAATGATACATGATAATGGAGTGTTGAGGGGAGCTATTTGTGAACCAGAAGATATAGCTAATGCTGCTCTTTATCTAGCATCTGATGATGCCAAATATGTTAGTGGGCATAATCTTGTAGTAGATGGTGGTTTTACTTCAATTAAGAATTTGAGTTTTCCCGTATCAAATGAATTCGAAAGTGAAGAATGAGGAAGACTGTGTTATTAGAACAATCTTTCACCTTTAAATTACATTTATGACATATTTGATACAATAAATTCAATATGATTAGTCTTTTCTTTAATCACGTTGACTTGTAACCGTGTGCTAGCTACCTACTTCCGGAGGGGTGGTGGCCAAGATCAAGAACTCATCCCGAGTTATGATCCTGTGCACACGTAGTATCGAAGTCGATGGTTGTAGAAGTTATGAAGTATGCAGGCTGCGTGATGCAAGTACAGTATTAGAATTAATTGTATATCAGCCATTTGCCTTCCGATTCCATTTCCGATCGAAGAGAGGAGGGAGTGCTTTCCCGAGGATGAAGACGAGGGGCTTACAAGATAATAGAGGAGTTGGACGAAGTCATTCGTGAACCAAGAGAACTAGCCAATGCTGCTTTTTATCTAGGATCTAAAGATGCCAAGCATCTCAAGTTTAATCGAACCATTGAACTTTATTTTGTCCCCAATTCAACCTCAATCTGTTACAGGACGGGGAAAATGATACAAGGTACATAAAATTTGATATTAACAAAAAATATCACCTCTCACGTCAATTTTCCAGCTTGCCGCCAAGTTACAAACTTAGTTATCTGTCAATCAGGATTGTTCTCATGTTCATAATGGGTATGAGATATCTTATCCACTAATGAAGTAACAAGATGCGATCTTACCACCTCACCGGTATTTTAGATCCTATCGGTGGACAAAATATGGATAAGCAGGAGATCAATTCTGATAATCAATTATCATAAAAATAAAGTCAATAACCTATATAGAATTTGACAACTTTTTCTCTTATCTCGCAAGTTCCCGACTCTATTTTAAGTGGAAAGTGTCGGTTACTAGTAGTTCGACTTAACCTTTTTATTAAAGATGTCACACTTTTAAACATGGAACGAATAGATTGTAAGGAGATTCGTATTAAACCGGGGGTTAAATTATGAAAGCCACAAACAGCGAATCAAGTAATTATAATGTTACGAGGTGGTTTCATTCTCATTTTTTTTCCAGCTACATATTTTTCAATAAAATAATATTACAGTAACCCAATCATATATTCTCCATCAATCTATTATTCTAAAATACATTATACTAAAAAAATGGGGCTCAGACATGCCGGTAATCTTATTCAATAATTACACTTCAATTTAATTTCATCCAAATAATTATATTACGGATTGGGTTTCCGTCTTCACAGCCCGGAGAGGCGCCAAAATAGATAGGCAAATTAGATATTTACGGTGCAAGTGGATAAGGAAACAAACAACTTCCAAGTTTCAACCTTTGTTTCACGCTCAGTGAGCTGTGAGGACTTAGACCCCAAACTCTGCTGCGTTTCCATTTTTTCTTCAATTTTTCTATCCGTTAATGGCAATGGCGGGCGCAAATTGTTGGTTCTCAATGCTCTCTTCTTCCTCCGGTTCCACTTCCCGTTGTTCTTTAACCTCCCAACGCCTTTTTTCCACCTCCCGAAGACCTACTTATTTTCTTACATCCATTGTTAAATCTTCCAAGGACCGAAATCAGAATCCGAAACAAAAATTGCCCAGGGAAACGCCGGGTAAATTCAGCACAGAGGTAAAACAAATCCGAAAACTCATTGCTGTTGAATTTTATTTTAATTTTTGTGATTTTATTTATCCTCTGTGTTATGAATGATACTCTCTCTGTTATTAATGAATGCAAGCGTTCGTACAGCAAATTGAGTTATTGAATGTTTTATATTAGAAAGAGAGTGAATAAATATGGAAAAATACAGTAACCACTGAATATCAATACAAGACATAAACTGCATTTAGAATGAATTATAAGATGAAAAGAGCTCGAAAGTCCCAGATTTTATGAAAACACACCTTTTTTTGTTCTTTTTCCCTCATTGAAGCTACAAGCTTAAATACAAACACACAAAAAGGCATACATGTCTGTGTTTTGCACTAAAGCACATCTTTAACAATGATTACTCTAGTTTTTTGGCAGTATGTACAAATTTAATTTATTTACTACCATGAACCTATGAAATCCGTTGTATTTGTTGTTAAATCCAGAGTGAAGCTATTACACATAAATTGCCAGGGAGATCAAGAGATGAAATCCATTTATCAAATGTAGATGGTCGAATTATTAGGAAAAATGCAGGGAGTTCTCAATCAACTTCGTTTAGATCTTCTGGCATGCAGAGGAAAGGGAACAAGGGAGTTCTGTTTGACTCAAGAGACCAACAGGTATGTAGGACATTCATATTGTATTTCATTCTCTTTAAATATTTGAAGTATGTGTTTCCTTTCATTGGGGAGATAGCGTGAAATTTATAAAGAGCCAGCTATCCTTCTGACCTTGCTGCAAATGGCACTTTAAATCCACAATTAGTGTTATAAAATCTAGTACTTGGATTTGGCCGATATCTTTTGTAAGTTGCAAATCATATTCCCATGGTAGTGAAGGTACCACATTTAGAGCTTGTTTGAGAGAGATTTTTCAAAAAATTATTTTTTGCAATATCATTTTCAACCACAAAATTATGTGGGACTCGTAATTTTCCATACTTTTTAACTACACGTTCTCCAAAAAAATCATTTTTCACTTGGAAAAATCTCTCTCAAACAAACGCTTAGTAGATCACGATCTTGTATTCTTGTTGCCCTGACATAATTAAGATATAGGGGGAGATTGAAAGTCTTATTAAAGATACCCTTTCTCAGTTCCTTAAGAGTATCTTCAATAGATTCTCTATTTTTAAAGAGCATATTCTATCATTTAGAGAGTATTTATAAATTTAGAGAGTTGAAATTTTGAAATACTCCAACAAACTCTTTATATTTAACACTTAATTTTACTACTCCAAAAAAATATTTATTATTTTTGTTTCTTTTATTTTAACTAGCTTTTCTTTAGATAATTTTATTGTTTTCCTACATTGAAAATTGAAACACTTTGAATGCATTTAATTATAGAGAGTGAGTTTGGCTCTTGACTGTCCAAATTGGAGAGTCAAACTCACTCTTTAAATTAAAATGTTAATTTAAAGAGTCTATTGGAGCATGATTTTAAATGTTGACTCTCTAAAATAGAGAGCATCTCATGTTTAAAGAGTAGCGTCTTAGAGCATCAACAAGAGAGTGAGTTTGGCTCTTGGCTCTTCAAATTGGAGAGCCAACCGAGAGCCAACCCACTCTCTAAATTAAAATGTTAGTTTAAAAAGTTCATTGGAGCATGATTTTAAATGTTGACTCTCTAAAATAGAGAGTATCTCATGTTTAAAGAGTTTCTTGGAGATGCTCCAAGACACTCTTTTCTTAGACCTTCTCAGTGCCAGTTGGACCATGAAAGTAAAGAAACTCTCTACTATTTTCTCCCCCTATTTGCTATCATTATCTCTGCTCCACAATTATCATTTCATTTTCCCAAGGCTTGTTAAAGTTGCTGAAAAATTTATTGTAATGTCCGTCATGCTGCTGCAGCATTTACAATCACGTGCATTCACTATTGTAAAATGGCCTTTATGATTACAAATGCCTTTATGATTACAAATGTTCTAGGATCCTATAATGGGGTGTAATAAAATAAGTAACTTCTATCATTATGAAACCCTTATATTTGATTCCATGTCTTCATTTTTTGGTTTCCATACATGGCACGTTTCGTTTCAACAATTTTTCATAAAGAATCCTATAATGCAGAGCTTTTATTGTTAACAGATTAAAACTACGGTTCATCTATAATATGACTTTGTTTATGTGTTATTGAATGAATTCCCACTCTCAGAGCCTACATTATTCTGTGCCGGCACATTTTTTGTGTTCTTTCATGCAATAGCTATGAGTGCCATTATTTCGTGTTAAGTTCACTTGTTCAACATTTAAGTAATTGTATTTATTAGAGTACTACACTCACGTGTTCCAGGTAAAGACTGGTAATCTTCAAGATGCTGCATTTCTTAACGCTGTTGTAAAGGTAAATGTTCAATTCTGCTTGATATTTTAGTTATCTTATTGAAAATTTTTAGATTGTGCTTTGCTACCCTCTTCATAGAGCTGGATATCATTTCCTTTATTTTCTTTTTACATTATCTTATGCAGCATGCTCCATCCCTCTTTGCTTTCAGTCCTATACTTTACTTGCTATTTAACTTTTGGCTAGTTAGTATCTTCCTACTTTGTTTCCTCACGGAGCATCATGAGAATTACAGGAAGATCTGATCCACCCTTATATTTTAAGATTTACCATCTTAGGAGAGCCAATATTCTGTGGCACAGGAGTTGCAATCAGGATGCCCTTCTTAGCTTTTATTTTGTCAGCGGTAGTCGGTTTATATGTAGATTTCATCATCTAGGTCAACATTAAGGTATTTTATGTGTTCGATCAATTGATAACTTCTTTCAGAAATATTTTATACCAATAAAGTAACCATATTATTTTTTCGTGAATTTGCCATTTACCGATTTCATCTTTGACTCTTGAAGCAGCATGTGAAGCTGTTTACTGGTGTTCATCAATTACCACGCACTCCTTGAATATATTCTCAACATCAATGTAGCCCATTATCTAATATATGTCAATGAGATTGAATAAGATTACGGAGATCGTCGAAGATTATGATTATATTATCATTATTATTGTTACCATATATAGATAGATTGTTTTTACCATATTTAGTTATGATTTTTGTTTTATATAATGAGATAACCTCTCAAATAGAGGGGCATCGAGACTTATTGAATATTATTGTGTATATTTGACATGGTATCAGAGCCTTTTCCTTAAAATTTTATCTTGTGTTCTTGGTTAGGTTTTCTCAAGGCGGGATGAGCTTTTTGCTCATCTCGTCTGGTTTTCGTCAAATTGAATAAATTGTTTTTTTTTCTGTTCGTGTTCCTTTTAACGCATTGAAAAAGTAATTCAAAATCAGCCTCAAATTAAGAGTCTTTGTCCACATACTTGTCATTCCCAATCCCCTCTAATTTTTCTGTGCTATTTGAAATAGAAGAAAAGATCATATTTTATTGAAAAAAAGGTTCTACTTAGGGGTGTTGTCTTTTAGTCTTCAGTTATTGAGACATCTGCAATTAGACAATTCATTATCTTGTGGTCGTCAGACATATGATGTGGTTCTGTCGTAGGGGTGGGAGTAGCAACAGTTGGGTGTTGGTAGACGTGGAGTATGGGCACTGGCGGGAGGTGAACGATGGTCGGATTTATAAATTGAATGGCTTTTGATGTGGGTCTATCGATTTTATGGGTGCAGGACGGCAATAAGCAGCGACAATGTCCAAGAAGATGAAATTGAGTATTTTTGGGCCGATTGTAAGGCAAAGTGTTGGCTGCTTCTGTTTAGTTGGCCTGTTTGTTGGGCCATGGGCTGGCCTTTATTTTGTAGCTATCCATTAGGGCTTAATTTGGATCTAAGGAATTTTGGCCTGTTATTTTGGGCCTGCTATTTAGTGTGGGCTGCTTTGTGTGATGGAATTGCAATAATTTCTTGGGATTTGTTAACCTGGCAGGTTAAAGTGCAGAAAATAACGTATTGGGCTTGTTGTCTTATTTCATCTTGGATTCTCGGAGGAGGATCATCTTTGAGTTTTTGGTGTAGATTGTTTTGTGGGATTTCTTCCACCTGCAGTATCTGGAGTTTTGGCGTTAGAACTTTTTTCGGAACCCGAATTATGTGTTCGACTAAGTTCTTCCGACAGATAGAACTCACTGTGTGTGTCGGCACACTTTGTGAATTTTTTTTTGAAAATTCTTCTCGGGGAGTAAGTTCTCTGGAGTATCTTTGAAGTGTTCTTTGTTGGTTACTGCACTATTTGTTGTTCTTGGTCTCTCGTCGTCACTAATTTTCGTTGTTGGTTGCTCTGATTTGGATTTCTACTTCATGGGCACAAATATTGTCACTATCGCCAATTCATGATTGCAAATTGATGCTTTTACCAACATCCATCAATTTGAGGGGGATGTCAATGAGATTGAATAAGATTACGAAGATCGTCGAAGATTACGATTATATTATCAATATAATTGTATCATATATAGATAGATTGCTTTTACCATATTTATTTATGATTTTGGTTCTATATAACAAGAGAACCTCTCACATAGAGGGGCATCGAATCTTATTTAATATTATTGTGTATATTTGACACTGCTCCCTTAGTAAATATATCTGGAAAATTAAATTACTTCCTAATTGTTTAACAATTATTTCTGCATTACGTTTTTGTTGACAGGGAGGAGGCCACACGGCTCCTACATACAGGCGCGAAGAATGTTTTGCTATGTTTAAAAGATGGATATCTTATGAGCCTATATAGCCTTTCCCAAGGTTTGCTTCTTCGTCTTGTAGAAGGGAGTTACCTTGTTACAATCTCCATTTCAGCATTTCCTATTTCCCGAGTTCCATATAAGCTACTAAAAGGATTATTGTTAGCATGTTTCCTATATTCTACAATCGAAACTCAAAAATTCAATTTCTATGGATCAAAATGCGAAGCCAATACACAAGATTTTCAAACGGTAAAGAATAAAAGGAAAAAGCAAAAGTAGTTGCACCTCCTTCTCTATTTTTGTAAATGATTAATCTGGGANCCTAACTTCACCTAATAAAACCGGTTTATTAGGGGAGGATTGCCCTCACCTTATTAAGTGGATCATTTATATTTTCCCAAGCAATGTGGGATTCTAATACTTGTCAATGCTCTTTTTTTTTCTTATATTTAAAAAATGACTTGACGATATTGGCCATTTTCTGATATTTTTGTAACAAATTGTGATTCTCACTACAGTTTAAAATATGTTACTATTGCCTTCTCTTTTTCCTTCATTTAGGTTTACTGTACCCACACTGCACCAGATTACTCTCTTCCTTGGCAGAAACAAAGGCAGTATCAAAGTACTGGAAGGTATGTTTAATGACCTTTCTCCAATGGCTTCCCTCAGAAAATTGAATTTTCTGGGAATTAAATCTTTTCTTTTAATACAATTCTTGCGGTAAATACAGTTTTACGTATATTCTCTTTTCACATAATAACCTTTGCATGCACTGTACAGTGCTTTTATGATCGGGGATGGGAAGCTTTTGACAAATGCACACTGTGTTGAACATGACACACAGGTAAATTTTGAAGTTTAATGCCATTTGAATTTTCCCGCTTGTGTAAATGTTGCATGCCGTAGCAGGCTTGATGATTTGACAGGAAGTCTGGCTAATGTAAGCACCAGTATTCTATCTGTTAACTTCGGAGTAGATATGTTATGATTAATGGTATTGTCATGATATGACTCTAGCTGAGTATTCCTTCTTTAATTCTTTGGATTTCCTGCATGTTTGAATTGAGGGTTCTCGAGCTGATGGAATTTGGGTGTTAAATCAAGTGAATGCTACTTAGAACCAGAAAAATTGTGACACATATGCTAGTTTCATGTTGCCAGAGATTGATGGAAATTTGGGGGATAAATCAGGCCCATGTTACTTAGAACCGGGAAACTGCATCACATAAGCTAGTTTAGTGTTGCCAGAATAGTGGAGCTCATTTTTTAAGTAGAACTTATTACCTTAGTTGTTTTAATTGATCCTTGACTGATGGGGTGATATTTTGATTGGACATGATATATATTCAATTCTAAACCTGCTCCGCAATAAAGAACTTGAGTATTCGGAGAAAAAGATTACACACTTCTTTTCTTGACAAAGTTCTAGTTGAGTCAATAAATGACTCTTTCGCTAATTTAACTTCCATTACAGTGTGTTAAATCAGTTGATTTAAAAGTTTAAGCGGTTAAAGAAGGCTATGTTACTGATTAAACAAATAATCATTCATTAGTGAGGAATTATAATTTGAAATAAGAAAAATGAAAAAATAACACATGATATAACGTGCTTCACCCCCTCAATGTAAGCTACTGCATCAGGTATAAATGTCGAATTGAACTATATCCACAAAGAGAATTACAATATAATTTGGACTCACATTATTCACTGTTATCTCTTTACTATAATCAGAGTGACCTAATACATGTGCTAATTGCACAAATTACCCTATAACACTTAAAAAGTTTCGGCTTGGGGCTTACCACCCCAGTCCTCCCTTGGCCTTACCACAAAATGCAAATAAGAGGAAAAGTGTAATGTCTACTAGGCTTCACATATCCAACAACCCACATGTATATCATTTATGTCTTCTCTTCAACGTGCCCCGTTATGTATAGGCGGGATTCATATTTCCCATAAAGCTTTATATGTAAACTTTTGATAAATGGGTGACAGCGAGACTTGAACTAAGACCTTTACATCTAAGATACTGTGATGAACCGGTTGATTTAAAAGCTTAAGCTGTCAGAGAGACACATGTATATAATTTAAATCTTATTTTCAAGAATTCTATAGAGAGCTGATAATAATCCATCTTACATGGGGACATCAATCCCTGAAAAAGAGTGGGAACTGTTGAGAGATGATAAAAAAATATTTTTCGAACCACTTCTTGCATTGACAGCTGGATCTGGTGCCATCATTTAAAAAATTTAAATCTCCAAGTATCTATATTTCTTTCCATGCATACTTGTGTTTCCTATGTTTTTGGCCCCTGTTATGAACATTTTTATCTTAAAATTTAGTTCCTTTGGACAATCTGTAAGCTATCATTTTGATATGTTTATTCTGTTTTTGTTGGTGAGTTTGGTATAGTGACTTGTTGATTACAAAATCCATTTTTTGTTTTATAAAAGAGCACCACTAAATTGCTGCTGTTACTTTTGGTGTATTTTTTCTATTCATCGCAGGTCAAAGTGAAGAAAAGGGGCGATGATACAAAATATGTTGCAAAGGTAGCATTCTTAGAGAGAATGTTGTCATGTTCCTCTATTACTATGTCACTTTCAGACCTACTATTTGAGAGCAGAAAGATGTCGAATATCCTGTAAAAATAGTAGTGTTTTTTCTCCTGAAAGCAGGAAGAACCCAGTCCAACGCTCTCCCTCTGCTAATCTAGGCTGACTTTCATGAATACCTTTTATTTCTTCTCTCCTTATTTCGATGCAAAAAGAAAGGTTGAGGACAAGATATCCCGAAATAACAAAAATAGAAGAAGATAGAGTCTAAGGCAATGGCCATCATAGCACTTCTGTACCAGTCTTATCATCTTAGCTGCCACCAAAACCCCAAACTTGCCAAGGCATGTGGGAATCATAGAACTTTTTCCTATATTTTGAACAACTTCCTCATGTTTCACTCTCGAAAGCCTGTGAAGACAGTTTGAAAACGTGATTCATTTTCCTGCCAAATGACAGACATCAGGGGGGAAGGAGTCATTAATGTTTACTGTTTAGACTATTAAGACCAAGTGACAACCTTCATGTTCAGATTTCCAAATGGACGAATGCAAAAAGTAATAGGAAGATTCAGGCAGGCAAGATGAATGGGAAAGGTGGTACAAAAGCGTTTAGAAATTCTTGTAATAAGAATTGAAAATAAGAACTATATTGGAATAATTTTGCTTTGTATTGATTTATGATTGATTGTCATAAAAAAGTGCGCAATACCTCTATGGACAAAATTATTCCCTAATCCTACTAATATAAGGAAACTAATGTAAAATCCTAATCTAAAAGAAATTAGAAATCCTGTTCTAATCAATAAATAAGAATTAAAAGATAAAACCTATTAGAACTAGAATTCTTAAATATCCTATCATAAATAACTAACTTTTATCCTATTTATAATAGGATTGACCTACATCAAAAGGACTTGCATGAAAAGACACTAGAAATATCGATATGCCTGTCCCTTCATATCAAAGCTGTAAAACACTAGAACTTCTTGAATGGAGCTTGATCGTAAGTAACAAACATTATTTTCTAATATTACGGGCTGACCCTTCACATCCTGTAATGTACAATATTACTAGCCACTTTTCACTTTAATTTTTTCCCCTTATTTCCTTTTCCACTTTTAATATTCTGAAATTGCTTTTATTAATGATCATAGTGAATGCATCTTTTATCATTATCAAAAAATGTGATTTTCAGTTGTTCGTAGTCATTAGGACTTAATACTCTAAATTATAGAAAACACCAACATTTTCACCCAATACTGACTCATAACCATGATTAATTAAATTAGTCTTTAGTGTTTTACTGTATGTTAATGTCCTTATTTCCTTTTGCTTTCATATATTTACTTATTTTGGTGTTGGGAGGCAGCCCTGATGGTGGAAAATCGGTTTAAAATCTTGATGCTGCACTTATTCTCTACTCAGTGAAATGATTTACAGGTTCTCGCAAAAGGAGTAGAATGTGACATAGCTCTGCTTTCTATTGAAAGCGAGGAATTCTGGAAAGGAGCTGAGCCCCTTAAGTTTGGACGCTTGCCTTGTCTGCAGGTTCTCTTGATTTGTCTTCATTTTTCCCTATGAGGAGCACTTATTGTTGCTTTTTCCCATCTTCATACATTGGAACTATTTCTTGTCTAGTTCTTTCGCTCTGCTTTTCCATTGATACTATCCGCAACAAGCAATTTTATGTGGAGTGACCAGCATAAATGATTGAAGAAACTGGGTAGTATTTTTCATCTTTCTGGCCCAAATGCTGCAAGATCATATTTTACTTGAGGAAATAGTTAGTAGATCAGAACTTCACGGGTAGCATTTTAATGATATGGAAGCTGACTGATTATGGCTGGATCCTATCTCCATGTGATGCATTTGTTTTCTTCTTCTGTTTGATATAAGTATGTTTTGATGTGTCTCCCAGGATAGGATCGTTTCCAGTTTTCCAAGAAGATCAAGTGAATCTAATGTTTTATTAACGAGCAAAAAGAGAAATTATATTCAGATGGATAGTCCTTTTGAAATTTCACACTTGAACAAGTACTTAAGTTCATGGTTTCAGTGATTGGGATAGGTCTCTTGAGATGAGATACTGAAAAGAAAGAACTAAATATTACCCATCACACTTGTAAACTAAAACTTCACTGTACAGTTTGTAAGTTATTAGCTAGGGTATTCCCAAATTGTTGATTAGAGGTCCTTCATCTGAGGTTAGTTTCAATACATAAGTTCAGGAATTTATTTATTGGGAAAATGCACAATTTGCTTGCTTCATTGCTGGTTCTAGGACATTAACTAGTGAAGGGGCTAAGTTTTTCATTGGTGCTAGCTTGGTGATTTCCTTGTGGAAGCATTTAAAAGAATTTCACATGTTTGTTTTTTTTTTGCTTATAATTACTTCATCAACTATTCTATAATTTTCATGTTGGTTCCCAATTGATGGTTATGGATTTATATGACTACATAGTACATACCTATCTGTTCCCTAATGATTGTTATATATTTCTATCCATTCAATGGCAGATTTTGCTGTTTGTAAGACAAAATTACGGTTTCTCTGCAAATTGAGCTGCTGAGCATGGCCTTTATTTCTGGGTCGGATAGTTAGAAATCAGATAATGATTCTTTATATTTTGGAAACAAGCTGTTGGCAGGGTAAAAATAAAGCATAAATAAGATCTGTAGCATAATACTGTACATGGTATTGATATTTGTCATATAGACCTGTAATTACACAGCTGTGGCTCACAAAGATTTGGTGGTTTGGCTTCACTGAAACTGGTTTGTGCATATTTTATTCAAGTTTAGCAATAAATGTAGATCAATTCTCTCAAGTGTCCATGCCACTCTGTTTCTGGCTTGCGTGTATATCACTGTTAGTAATGCTTCTACACTGCATTTTATTATGCCATTTTGTATTTGCTGGTTTACTACGATTATCACACATGAATAGCTCAGTTGCTTGGTTCCAAGTTATGCCTGATATAAATGGAAACTTACAAAGGATACATGAATACAATCAACCAGCAATTCTACTAACTATTCTGCTGCGACAACTAAAAAACATAAATTTTTTACTGGTCCATTGCTTTCAAATTGGCAGGATGCAGTGACTGTTGTTGGATATCCGCTTGGTGGAGATACTATTTCAGTAACAAAGGGTGTGGTATCAAGAATAGAGGTTTGTTCGTTCCTCCATGCTTTCAGGTTTTATTATTTTTAATCATTATATAGCATGCATCAATCTACATTATGAAGCCTTATCCTACATTTAGATGGTAACTGTTTGTTTATTTTATAATCTATGAATTTTTAGATAAATCACAATGACTTTGTTAGAACTTTAAGGAATAACGAGTCTTTTGTATATCCATTTTATGAAAATGTTTTATCCTAAGCAGGCATATGGTACATGCAAATTCTGGAGTTAAAAATGATAGTATATCGTTGACGTTTTAGAAAAGAAGCAAAAGATATGACCATTCTTGCTCTCCTAACTGTCGTTTGATTATTTACATGTCTAATTTATTCCAAATGGTTAGTGATTTCATATCGAGAAGCAAACAGTGAACACGTGAACTACAACTTAGTTTGGTGCATAATAAAGAAATTCTGTTTGCAATCTCTTATTTGTCCCCAGCTACTGGTTTGGTTGGAGCTGAAATTTGATTGTGTATCAATTTGCATCTTTTTGATCTCGACAAACATTGAACACATGAAGTGCAACTTAGTTTGGTTCATAATATAGAAAATTCTGTATTCAATCTCTTATTTTCCCCAGCTACTGGATTGTCTCAAGCTGAATTTGGTTACATGTAATAGTTGAACGACAATCTGCTTCTAAGTTGCATAATTTCACCTACAATTGGCAGCACTCCTGTCCTGAAATTGTGATTGTTTCTCACTGTATTTTGATCAATTAGTTCACAGCAATCCACATCTTAGTCTCATAACTATTGACAGCTCTCCTCTGAAATTGTGAATTCGCAATTTCAGAGCAAGAGCAGTTTTCCGAGGCATATCAAGTATGTGTAACGGTGTAAGAATTTCAGATCTCAACTTGAGCTCGAAACTGATAAAGCAAAATTGCTCTCACAGTCACTGGAATCTCCTACATCGACAGTCCTGGGTATCAGCTATTACCTTGTTAAACAGTAACTAAGTGCTGGCTTTCATAACCAAGGCCAGGATGAATTCATTTTGCCCTCAACCATTTTAGCTTTTAATAAAAATGAAGAGGAAACTGCGGAAAATCCAGAAGATTTGTTTTGATTACATTGGTGACTTGACCAGAATCCAATGAATCATGCACGTATTTGTGATCCTATTTCACTAGGATGAAAAGTAGCAAAACCATAGAAAGTTGTAGATAACACAATTTGCAAAAAGAGAAGAAGAATCAGTTGTTCAGCTACCTCATTCCTGGACTATTAGCTTTTTCTAGGTTTATAATAGAACTTAGCGTTTACCTTGTGTGTTCTTTCAGGTTACATCATATGCCCATGGCTCATCTGAGTTACTTGGTATTCAAATTGATGCAGCAATAAATCCTGGTAAGTATGCATTGTGCTACTAGGAATTGGTCCTTTCTGAGCATGTATAGCCAAGCTTAAAAATGTAATTTACCTTTTTGACTGTAAGTAAAGACTTTATCTCAAGAAGTAAGATTGTACTGACTACTGAAAATCCAAAAAAAAAAAAAACTTTTAAAAAACCTCAGACATGTTTAAGTTTTAAGCTTGGCTTGGCCAAACATGGTTCCTATTTACTGGTCAGATATTCCATGTACTTCTAAATTTCTTTAACCTCACTCGGTTGACATGTATTCTTATAGCTATGCAAATAAAAATATATTATTTTTTTCCCCTCACGTGCCATTGCTTATAGTAGCTATATTTTAGGTAATAGTGGTGGCCCTGCATTCAATGACCGGGGAGAGTGTATTGGAGTTGCATTTCAGGTAGGTTTTTTCTAGTCGAATTTCAATAGCAAAATCTGTTAGGTTTTAGATTTGTTATTTACCATTTTGCTTTAGGTAGAATCTATTTGCCTGCAACAGTTTTGGAAAGTCACTTTCTGTTTATTGCAAGTATTTTGATCTTATAGCTTCACAGGCTGATGGGTTTTCTGACAGAGCGACAGTCGTCGTTAGCAAATTTCTTTTCAGTTTTATGTTTTCACGAGACATTTCTTCTAGGTTTACAGATCTGATGAGGCTGAGAATATTGGCTACGTGATTCCAACTACTGTTGTATCTCATTTCCTGGAGGACTATGAGAGGAATGGGAAATACACTGGTGATGCTTCTTGCACCTTGTGAATTTAGACTGCACTGCTTAAATGTTACTTCTGATAATTGGGATGGCCAACACATTTTGCTCGTGTAGCTCTAATGCTTTGTCCATTAATATTTTTGTAAGTCATTTTAGTATTTAAAGTTTATAGGCTCACACAACTTTGTATAATTATATTCAAGGTAAGTTGATCCAGAGAACGAGTCTTTCTCCCCCTGCCTCCCACAAGTGCCTGGGCTCAAAACACGTTTTCTTGTGTACCTTTAAACATTAATATCTTTTTTTTAAAGTCATGTTAGTATTTTTGAATTAATAGGCTCATCGGACGACTTCATACAATTAAATTCCTTTGTATTCTTAACTCTATCAAGAGTTACGTTATTGATTTTTTTCTTTCTGTCACGTTCTCGTTATTTTTTACTGGCGTAGTAATCATGTTTCCCGTAGGCAACCCTGTCACACGTGCACAAACGGGTCAGAGTGCACTGTATTATTTCCTTTCTACCATATGGGGCACAATTGACCATTTTGAGAAAAAAAAAAAAAGAGTTCTGTCAGATGATTTGAATGTTAGTGGAGACCCCAACAATTCTGTAGACCTGCAACTGATAAGAGTGTCAATTGGGAATTTGTCACTTTTCAATAAGATGAACTTCCATGAAATCATTTATGCAGTGGAAAACTCATTGTAGATGAAACTCATTGTAATTTCATCGCATGTACCTTGTAGGAAATTTGCAATTTAGTTTTTGTTGTTACTCTTTAAGGTCATGTATGAAAGTAACTTTTTTCTTCCGTCCATGAAGCATATAATAAACATCTTAGCAACATTTTCAGGTTTTCCTTCTCTTGGGGTGGTGTTGCAGAAATTGGAGAATCCAGCTTTGCGGGCCTGCTTAAATGTTACATCAAACGAGGTCTATCTTTTTATTGAACTAGACTAGAAAATCCACATGTTTTTACTGTCTAAATTTTTATAATTGTACAAATATATGATTTTGGTACATGCCGTAGATTGCATGATCACAACTTTTTCTTAACAGTTCTCAGGATGCCACCTGGGATTTTGGCTCATTTTCAAAATGTTTTACATAGAGAATGCATGATGTTTTTAAGCAGTGCATGCACAACTTTTATATTCTACAGTGGGGTTTATCCTGTCTCTCACATGTTGGGCAATCTCTACGTCTCAAAAATTGAAAAAGTATAAAATAGTTGCACCACATGCCTGTTGGACACGTCTCTGAGACATCAACAGTGTAAAAAAAATCTATGAAAAATAAAACATGCATTGTAGCGTGTTCACCTAGTACGTGAGGTATGTCGGTGTCCAATACTAGTCAGACATGGATTCTCCACCCTAGGAGTGTCTACGCTTCATAGAATCTATATAGCACTCACTTGATATATTTCCTATATTATTATATTCTGCAGGGCGTACTTGTGCGGAGAGTTGAGCCAACTTCTGATGCCAGTAATGTACTGAAGAAGGTATGCCATCCTTCATAATAGAAATCTCTTTTGTTCCCCACCACCGATATGTTCTTGCATCACATCTTTACTTGCAGTTTCTTGCGTGCTATTCTCATACTTTAGTTCCTTGCACCATCTGAGTTTGGTTTTCATTATTGACTAGTGAACCTTGCAAGAAACATCTTATTGCTAGGCATAAAAAAATTATGAAATCTTTTATTTGAAAAGAATAAGTTGTGAAAAACATTGGAGAACTTACCCATTATGGAGAAGCTATACGAATGAGTAACTGCAGTAAGGCCTATATCATTTGTATGTCAAATTATTGTCAATTCGGATTATAATTAGTTCAAGAAATCTTTTTATTCATCGCTTGGCTAGTTCAAGAATTTAATATTTCCAAAAATGGAATATTTTTTTGCATAAATTCCTAACCTTGGTTAAATAATATTGTCGTGCTTATCACACATAGTTCATATACAGTGTAATTAGATACATCTGAATGGTGCCGATGGATTTGGTCAAAATTGATGTCATGAGAAAGAGGCAACTCAATAGTGGCTCAATGTTGTGTTATTATAGTTTTCTTTAAACTTTTTGATTTATTTTTTTTGTTCTATTAAGTATCAACACAAATACATAAGGCTGCTGTTATTTCATTAACATATTATGTAGCACGGACACGACACAACACGACGGGATTTTTAAAAAACCTAGGAGACGGACATGTTAATTTCAGTTATTTAAAACTTTATATTTACATATTCTTATCTTTATGTTTATACTTTCCTTTTCTTAGTTTGACGTTTGTTCATGAAATTTTTAAATTAGATAAATAGCTATTTGTTATGTTAACTTTAAGTTAAAACTATAGATTAATCTTCCGGTGAAGGAATATACATATGGTACATGTCTTGGAGAGTTTGAGGAGTCCGTGACTGGCACAACACTATGCATGTCGGACACACGACACCAGCAGAAGTGTCCATGCATCATCGGTGGCACAAACTCAAAAATATTGATGGTGTTAGAAATCAAATAACGCGGGATCTTTCTTTCTCTTCCAGGGGGACGTCATTGTAAGTTTTGATGATGTTCGTGTTGGTTGTGAAGGGACAGTGCCATTCCAAACAACTGAACGCATTGCATTTCGCTATCTTATTAGTCAAAAGTAATGTTCTTGACTTCTGTAACAAAGTTGAATTTTGTGTTAAACCTGCCTTACAGCCATACAAAATACTGCATTTTATGGGTCATTCTCTAAATAAACTTAACATTTTTAGCACGTTAAACTGTACATCTATTGCGCATCAATAGCTAAAAGACTACTAATTTAATCCTTGTGCTGCACCATGTTATTCTTGATAAGTTGTATTGATATCTGTAGCAAGATATCTTCCGTCCTGATGTGATTCAATTCAACTGTTGAAACTGTTTAAGGAGATCTTATTGCTTTGTGCATCAATCTTATTTAGTCGTCATGTAAAAATTCTTGTCCAATTTTAGTTTGATAGCTTTTACCTTGACAGTCTTTACACGAACTCTGTGCTTGCAATCTTATTTTATTTTTTATTTTTTGCCATTATTTAGAATTCCACCAGCGTTTTATATCCACGGTCTCCTATCTTATATACTGTCCTTCAGTTTTGAGTAATAGCGTCCTATCATTTTAAAGAGATCATGACTCCCCTAGTCTGAATTAAGGATCTACAAAATACATTTAGCTTTCTACTAAGTCGCTTGTCCTTGATTCTAATACAAAGACCACTCAATTTCAGATTTGTGGGTGATGTAGCAGAGCTTGGCATTATCAGAGGAGGACAATTTATGAAAGTTCAAGCCATCATGAATCCACGTGTGCATTTGGTAAGTAGAGAAATGTTTAAATCTTTGAATAAATTGCTCTCTTTCTGGTAATATGATTGGACATTTTGATATTGATGATTTTTTACAAAAATCTCCTCAAGGTTCCGTATCATATTGAAGGAGGTCAGCCTTCATATTTAATAGTTGCTGGATTGGTGTTTACACCTCTATCAGAACCTTTAATCGAGTATGTATGAGATTGTTTTTGTTTATTTGACCTTTTTCCTTATATTTAGTGTTTCTCACAATTTCAAATAATTTACAGTATGATGTTTCTATTACTATTACAAGCTAATTTGTACTTATTTATTTCAACAGAGAAGAATGTGAAGATACCATTGGGGTAGTTTTCTCTTCCTATTTATAATGACGTGATAATACTATACGTTGCTCGAATTCCATGATTTATTAGTAGCTTTTGTCTTCTGGTCAGTTGAAGCTGTTGACAAAGGCGCGGTACTCAATGGCTAGGTTCAAAGGGGAACAGATCGTGATCCTATCACAGGTTTGTGTGTTAATACTTCCCAAACAGCTTCTCATCCGAAAGTGTTAGTGATAAAGTCCTAATCTCACCAAGAGCAATACTCAACAAAACTGAAAACAGAAACTCAAACTCATAATAACACTTAGATTTAAGGTGGTTCACCTCAGCTTGAGAGCTACACTGACTTGCTGATGGAATTTTTTTACTATAATAAAGGAGATTACAAGGTTTTTTCTCACAAGTCTCTGTCTTATCTTTTTAAAAAAGGAAACTAGGGCGACCTAATACAAGATTAGTAATGTCTGATATACTCCTATAGTGAGGCTCCACAGAGTCCAACAGAAAGAACATTTCTTCGTTGCTCCTCTGGTTATGCCAGGCACATATGCGGTTCATATACACCAAATCTGTTGTGACCATTATTGAACCTCTCATACGAGGACACAGAAGGGTTTAACTTTATTCCTTTCCAAAGAATGCACCCAACCATTAGATTCTCACTTGACATAGCAAAAGAGCTCCAAGAAAGATTCAACTCTGCATCCGTCCAATCCATTGTTGTCACACCATGCTTTTGTCATCTTGACACTGGTGGTACACGAGGAGTTTTTATTATAACTTCTTTTACAGAGAGCACCAAACATTTGGCTGAACATAAACGATTGCAATTATTATAACAAGAAAAGGACGAAAAACATATAAATAGAAGAACATGGGTATCAGAATAGAATTTTGAAAAATATATTTTTACATAACCCTTGCCTGAACCAGACTTCTGCATAAATTTCTGCTTAGGTCCTGCTGAGTCAATTGAAATTATTTCTTCTTTCCCCTCTGTCCTCCCCGACACCACCGCTACTTGTCCAAGTGAAAGTTTGCCTTGAGAGAACAGCGTCCCATCAAAAAATTTGGGGCAAATCAATATTCCGTTGTATGTGCATGGGAAAAGTTGCTAAATATCTATATTGCTTGCAGGTCTTAGCAAATGAAGTAAATATTGGGTACGAAGATCTGAGCAATGAACAGGCAAGTGAAAAAGTAGCCTAGTAAGAATGCTTGTATACAACTGAAACTTAAAGACAAACTCTATTACAGGTATTGAAGTTAAATGGAACTTGGATCAGAAACATTCACCACCTAGCACATCTGGTTGATTGTAAGTACTAGCATCTTATACATCATTAGTCCTAAAGGAGATATCTAGCACGGTCCTCAAATTTTGACTAATGGAGCACCTGGTCCCCAATTGGATTTTTTGGCGTTCAAACTCTGAAACTTCAATTTTCGATGGCAGTTGGTTCGTACTGTATGGAAATTGTCAAACAGTCACCTGACTTGCACATAATCATATTTGAGGGTTTTTTTTTTCTACACTTATTTTTCCTTTTTTCCCATTAATTGTCCCCTTTTGAACTGTTTCTTTAGAATCACGAAACAACCCTTAAAAAGGAGGTCATGTACAAGTTATGTGACTATCTAACAAGTGATGGTTTCCATCCAGTGGGGACTTAAGGTGTGCCTAAATTGAAGGTTTGGGATTTTGAACCAGAGAAAAATTGATTGGAGATTGGGTGGAGAACGACAAATGCAAATTTTCCTTTCCGTGATTATATAATTTCTCTTGCACTCACAATTCTGCATTCGATCAGCTTGCAAGGACAGATATTTGGTCTTCGAATTTGAAGACAATTTTTTGGTCGTTATGGAAAGGGAAGACACGTTGGCTGCATCTGGTTGCATCCTCAAAGATTACGGGATTCCATCTGAAAGGTCTTCTGATCTTTTGGAACCATATGTGGACTCTATAGGACATGCCGCAACTATAGATCAACACGAGTCAGTTGACTGTGCAGTTTCAAATTCAGAATTTGGCTATGATGGACTACTTTGGGCGTAATAATCATTCTTTCTACCATTTAGGTCATAATTCGGGTTACATTATGATACTTTACGGTAAAATTTTCCTATTGATTGGCTAGAAATTATTGTTGGAGAGATTGTAGGCATGCTTGAGGTACTTTAGTTGGCCCCTTCAGCAATTGTTGTACAATTGAACTTGATTTATTTTTCCCTTTTCCTTTTTAGGGAGTGGGGTGATATTAGTTGATAGAGAATGTGCTGTTCAATTCTTTCTGATCTGTGAGAATAGGGAATAAGACTTGACCTGAAAGAGAGAGAATTCTCTATAGAGGGCTGTCAGCAATTTTGATTTGATGATTTTGAAGATTTCCAAAGATATTATAAAAGGAATCAATCTTTTTTCTTAAGCACTGTGTAACTGTGCCTACAATAATATGTTTTCCATACTTTGCAAGTTTGCATTTCATATAGCCTAATGCCTATGCTTTGGGCTTCCATTCCAGGTCAATAATTCAACTTTCTATGCACAAAATTGAAGGTCAGTATATCTTGATGAGATATTAAACCCTCTTCTGTGGACAGCTCCAATTACTGCTAATAATTCTACTTTTTCTGCATTATTGACATGTTTGGTAGGTGACAATTAAAGAAGCAAAATAAGCTAAGTGTGTATGCAGATTACACGTATCATATTGTTCTTCTCACAATGAGGACATGGAATGTAATAATTTCTCTCCAAATCACTAAATAGAAGAAAATGAATAAATATTTACTGACCCAATAAACTCAAAATGGATGGTAACATTGTGTAAAAGTTGGTGAGCAATCATTTAACTTTTTACATTTTTTGTGAGCGAGTAATAACCAAAGATAAAAGTCGATGATTACTCATATAATTAACTCTCATCTTAACACCGTTTATTGTCACATAGGATTTTCTTCTGTCAAGTGGACTTTTTTGCATAGATGGATGAAGAATGGGTAGCGTTGAATAAAAATGAGTGAGCAACCAAAAACTTTTTATTTTTGAGTGAGCAAATGGTAAACGAAGTAAAGATTGATGATTACTCATTTAATCTACTCGCAATTACACACCTTAAATTCTGGAATTATAAAAGCCATGTCTTCGAAGTTTTTTCTTGAGAAGTTGAAATTCGTATAGATGCAACTTAAAGTTTACTAGATAAAATTGCGAAAATTACAACAAAAAGAATAGAGAAATGATAATACATCTCAAATCACACACACTTGAAAGAAAATCTTTACAATGTAGAGCATAATTGAATGGAAGCACGAAATCCTTCCATTGTGCTATGTATGATATCGTAGTGCCATATGCCCATGCCTGGAATCTGTACCCTAACGAGGAACTAGATTATCCCATATATTTTGGAGATTTCTTGAACAACCTCCTCAAGAAACGCCCGCAAGGTGTGTTTATTATAAAGATTTTGTTACTTGTACATTAAAAAATGTACACAATGGATTACATAATATGATGTGGATGGAAAATATTGGATTAAAAAGTTGATTGTACTTTAAATTGACAAATGATAGAGTGTCAAGTGGCATTATGTAGTACATTATATAAATCTTAATATACATATAGCAAGACCCTTATTATAAAGTCAAATAGTAAAAGATTCTCTTTGTGATAAGATAATTTTTATGTGCTCCAAACTCAACATCATATGCTTTATCCAATGAGCTCCAACAAAGACTTCTCTTGTCGACAATTCCTAGGATCAAAAAATCATGCAGAAATGGAGTAAAGCTCTCCTGTGGTTTTGATGAAGGATATGGGAGATGCCCATCATGTTGATAGACGATTTCTAGATTCAGAGTTACAAAATCATAATGCTCAACCAGTGAACAATATGATCAATAAAAATCTTGAATCATGTTGCTTACGTCTTCTCTTGTAATACATTTTCGCGTGTTGAGCAAAAGAATCTACACCTTCAAGTTTGTACGTGTATTACAAAATATCTAATGTAGCTCAAGATCTAGTATGCACGGTTCATGTCAAGTATGAAAAAAGTAGCACGATCCATGTCAAGCATGAAAAAAAAGTTGCGCGATCCATGTCAAGTATGAAAATTGTATAGGTCCATTTAAGAGGTAAGTTTTGTAATTTTATTACTGGACTTCACAAAAAGGTAGTGCTAAATTGTAAGTCCACAAAAAGATTGTGTTAGTGTTGTTGTAAGATTATTTGAGTGATATTTGTGTCAGTTCACTTTTGGGCAATACTTCTGCATGGCCTTATTTATTGGGCCCTGGTAGTGAGCCCAGCACTGGACCAGAAGTGGAGAGCAACAGATCAATGTGTTCCTGCAGCTCTGTCCAACTGCCCAAAGGATATAATAATTTCACCATTAATCCTTCAAAGGAGTTTTGAACTTAGATCAATGATACGGTAAAGCTTCGCTCTTACTACTTGAGATAAGTCTTGATCTCTACAAAAAAAAAAAAATTTTAGAGCCTGTTTGACAATTATTATATTAGAAAAATAGAGTTTTGAATAGTGATTTTTGAAAATTTTTGATATACAAGTAGAATATTTTATTGAGTGAAAGTGTGGTCGAAAATGGCATCCTCGGTTTATAAGCTGGTATTACAATCTTCATCGGCAAAACGATATTATCCTCGGTTTAGTAGAGATTCTTTAAAAACTATTTTGCTCCAAACTCATTTTTAACCCGATATTCTTCTAATAAAATAATTTTATATGTAGATCTATAACGTTTCAAAACTTTCTAATCACACATCCTTCCAAAAAATTCATTTTTCACAAAATTTATTCTCAACATCAAACGGACTCTAAAGAACTATCAACAATTTTGGTACCGTAATTAAACAATATTAGAAAACAAAATTGATAAATTTTGTCAAATATATAATATACTTTTAAATTTATTTGATGTTATCTAGTTAAGCATACTTAACATACTTTTGAAGTTCTCAATAATTATTAGATTATAGATCGTGAATAGTTCATGTGATTTGACCTGATTGACTATCTTATTGAAATGACTCGAAGGTTATGCTTCGATTTGAATCCAAATATCAACCCCATATTCTACCTTAGCACAAGAGAGAAGAAAATGGAGGGTTGGTTAGGTCTAATTGTACTTTAACAGTCATGAAATTAATTTTGTCCTTCATTCCACTCGTCTTATTTTTATCCGTAACGTCGTAACCATTTCGGATTACATTCGAGGTATCAAAAGGGTAGAATTAGTAGAGGAAAGATCACAATGGTCGTGAAAGACGACATTCCCATCATCTCAATTTTTTGGTGCATAATTCAGCCCATACACCACAAAGCTAACAATTTATAAATCCCAGGGAAAGCAAATAACAAAAGATTTGAAGGCAAAGAGGTCACCATAACTAATTGAATTAAAGAAACCTCAAGAAAGACAAAAAAAAATACAACCAACCCCCTTGAAGCCATAAAAAGGTTGTCGGCATTGAAATAAAAAAAATTCAATAATTAATTAATTTCAATGCGTATTCCAACATGTTTTTTGGGTTGTACAAGACTTTATTAGGTTGCTTCTATGCTCAAATTTGTCCAAGATTTTTAGTTTAAAAAAAAAAAAGTTGTCGAAGTATGGCTTGAATTCATAACGTCAAAAGATTGTTCAAGCTCGACTGATATAATATACTTTTGAAATTCAGATATTTTTAACACTTGCTGATAATAGAAATTCGCTCTCGCTCTACCTTATCTAATTATGGTGAAAAAAGTAAGTATTATCAATAAATATAGAGGATAGAATAGATATTGAAGTGAAAACCACCAAATTGAGAAATAAAATCGAAATTGCATTTTCAAAACCATCGAATTAGTTTAGGTTTTGATATTATAATTGTAATTTTGAAAGATATTTTAATTGTAAGTTGATATTTTATCAAGTTGTTATAAATGGTTTAGCTTGAAAATATGTCAAAACCGCCCAAATCGAACCATTTATACCCCTACGATAACATATGCTAAAAACTCAAATTCAATGAGGATTGCAAAGAAGCTTCGCCACTTATGAATTGTTAAACAAAAAAATTAATTAATATATAAAGACTTGAGTTATTCCTCTTAATAAAAATTGACATTTTAAGATGGAACTATAAATTTCAATATAAATACTTATATGTTTTGCTATGATTTCAAGAACAAATGAATAACTTAGACATTATGCTCCAAAATTCCCCACATTGACTTCTTGGAACATGTTTGGTTGAGCTTAAAAGGGTAAAATTACTTTGAAGCAATGCTTTAGCCTCAAACTTGTTTGAATAATTTTCTTTAAAATTCTAAATTAGGTAAAAAAAAAATTGTTTTTTGAAATTAAGTAACTTAAAAGTTAATTAACCATGTAATCAATTTATCATGACATAATATCCTCTTAAAAGTAAAAAAAAAAAAAAAACTAAAAATCGAAATATTCCTGACTATGCTTATGGACTATACATAGCTTTCTCCCCATATTAATTTATTGACTTAAATTTAGGTAATGAGCAGACAAAAACCTTAATATCTTCAAAAGTCTTGAATTATTGGTTTAAATGATTTTTATGGAATTACACCATTGATATTATTGATAAAATTTCACATCGATTGCTTAATTATTAAAATCTATAAAACTCAAATTCAAATCTTGTGATCTAAAATGAGACACCGATACATCGGGATTTGAGTTTTTAGTCCAAATTAGGTTAATGTTTTAAGATGAAATATGGAGACTCGACACACAAACTTGATATATTGATTAGAATTTAGGCATAAACAGACAACAACCTTAAAATATCTTCAGAATGTCTTAAATGCTCTGTACTTGTTACATATATATTTGTATAAATCATTTCTCATATTAATTAATAAAACATGCATTTGGTTATTTAAAAGAAAATAGTAATTTTTAGGAGGTAATTTTGACGTGAAAAATTGCACTGTTAGTTTTTAACTTAATGACACATTAGTAATAGAAAGAATTGCAGCCAAGGTACCAAACATTTCATTTAGTAGCAGACTTGATTCAAACCTTTCATTTGCACCAACCATGGTACCAAACTTTTAAAAATTCGCACATTGAGTCCAAATGAATGAAAACTATGAATTTGACCGTTAGTTGACTACCAAAAAAGTTCATATGTCGCCACTAAGGGAGGCAAAAGACAAAAGTACACAGTCCCTTCTCATTTTTCAATTGTAGCTTAGTTCACCGTTTCAAGGAATCTGTAGTATGGCAGTTGAGATGGGTTTAAGATAGAAATTGATCCAGTCATCTCCGCCTCCGAAAGCTGTACCTATTCCCCCTTTGCCTTCCAAAAGACTCCTTATTATATCATCCAACACCCCTTCTATCCATCATCCCTTCCATTATCTGAATCAAAACTAGAGATGGTTTTGCAAGAAAATAATGCATTTATATCAAGATAAATTATCGGGTTTCGATCGAATGCGTTTATCCTCCTGGGTGAAGATTCGATTGGTGATTGTTGGATGGTAATGCCAAGCGGGGTTGGAGATAAAGGTGGAAGGTGGCGGTGGCTATGTGATTTGCGATGGAAATATTATGAATTTTGCACACAGTTGCATATTTTGGGTGTAAGTTGCTTTCTAAAATTTATATAATAATGATGAAATGGATAGAGTAGGGGATGAGGTGGCGTCAGAGTTGGGTTAGTGTGGTGCCAGTCAGTGGTGGTGGTGGTGGTGGGTGTCGACGTTTTTGTGGTTTTGGTTTACGTTTTTGGTTAGGGTGGGATGAGGTCGGGTGAGTGGAGAAGATAATAGGATTTATTTTATTTTTTGATTTAATTCTTTTATTTTAGCTTTTTTGTATGAAAAAAATGTAAAGTTACAATTTTACTCTTTAAAAACTAGTAAACATTGGTCAGATATTTAATTTTTTGGTCAACTAATAGAGAAAGTAACAATTTCTGTCAATTTGGACTTTAGATGTGAGTTTTTGAAATGTTTGATACCGCAAAGCAACAAATTAAAGGTTTGGATCAAATTTTCATAAAAGTGAAATATTTGGTATCGTGACTACAATTTTCCCTTAATAATAATATGGTATTTTTAAACCTTTAAAAGGGAGCCAGGTGCTCAACACCATACCATAATTGCATAGCAAGTCTTATTGACAAAAAATCGTTCAAAATTTTACTAATTGTCGTATAGGTTTTCACATGTTCAGTTTCATAAAGTAAGGTTTTGCTTCTAAAGCTAGACTGACGTTTAAAAATTTAAATCGAGTTAACTTTCCATTTAAGTCATGACATGATTTAATGAAGATTTAGACAGCATTTGTCTCTAAGATATGCTTATGTAACTATAATGAAATGTTAAAGGTCCATTATATAAATGTTGGTGACTAACTTGATATCCTAGGATCAATTGTGTAAATTGTAATTTTCCTTTTGAGCAAGTCCAAACTTCAATTCAAAATGACCAAAACACCCTTTTAGTACATTCATGAACAAAGCCATATAAAGCAAAAGGCAAGCCGTTAATATGGCATAAAGAAACGTAACCGGCGTGTGGGACCCACACATCTCACATGTAATTTACAACCCTCCATCACCTAAATTGCGTGAAACGTTGTCCGTCCATTCATTTTTTGTCCATCCATTATACAAATCAAGGTTCTTCACGAAACTCTAAACGGCTCGACTCTGGAGTCGTAGCTCAGCCACAAATTCAAGCCATATAGTAAAATAATTTCCCATAAAATCAAGAATTATGGGCAATTGAAGGTAAGTCCCTGCTCTTACCTAGACTGTTTTTTAATTATTTTAATTAATCATTAGGCTGTTTTTTGCTCCAATTATAATTATACCTAAAACTTGATTTAATTTCAAGCTATTGAAATTCCTTTTTAGTATGTGTTGATTGTACATACAAGAGAGAGAATAAAAAATTTTCGTTTTTTCTTTTCATCTTTTGACATGATTATAAATTTTCTTAAGAACAACTTGACCGTTGAGGAAAAAAGATTGAAAAAGATATTTAAATATGTCGAGTTGTTTTAAATTTATTAATGAGATAAAAGATACTTTTGTCGGTGACCAAAATTCTTAAAAGACGCTCGACCGTTATTTTTAGCCATTGAGTACAATGATTATCTGACACACGTTATTTACGACGCGCTTAGTATGACGAAATACGTTTTGAGAGAACATAAAAGTCAAAATATTTTTTAAAATAAAAATAAAAAGTGGAGACGGAATCTTATACAAAGGTCAAAGCACGCCATACAAGTAATTCTTGCCAATCATTTATGAACCAATTGCGACTTCCGATGTTGCCAATCGTGCGTCATTTGACATGAAACGACACACAATGACGATTCACTAAAAATAAAAAGCATGCAATAAACACGTCAATATGGGCTCGGAAAAACTTTACACGCTTCTCATCATCCCATACAACTTTAACTTATAATTAAATCATATTACTATATTTACATTTTTTGCGATTTCATTTTAATTACATATCCATTCAACTCCTGATGACATTAACTTTTCAAATTTTAGTTAAATTGTCATGCAATCGTGAAAATATGTCTCGTTTCAAATTTTTGAGCATGGATCCAAGTTGGGAAGAAAAACCCTAGGTTCTCAAAATTGAACATGCAAGGACCATATTACGATATAAGAAAGGCTTGGATGATTTCTGTAATTGAGGACTCAATGTACTACTCTAATGACATGCAATGACCAACTTTCTCTTAAGACAATAGGTTGGGACCTACAGTGCAATTTTCCATGATGGATTTATATATATAACATAGAAAATCATGGCTGTGGCAGCTTTGAGTTTTAGGTTAAACATAAAAACAAGCCATTTGCCCTATATACATACAAACTTGAAGTGATGACATACTCAGCTTAACTCTCAAAATTCTCATGCAAGCAGAAATTTGACAGCTCAAAGCAAAATGTCAATTCCATTACAACTCTTCTTCCAGAATTCCCTACTTTTTAATGCCTATATAATCTGCTCAACAAAATGAATAAATCACTTCTCATATTTGCAAGCAGCTTATAATCTTGAAGTACAAAGAACTTCACTTCAAGAATGGCAATTGTAACAGCTGCTCATCTGGCTTGCACTTTCGGCATTCTTGGTATCTTATATATTAAAATTGGCTCCTCTATCTTTGATCTGTATATGTTGTAGCTAATCTTGTGTTAATTAATTTGAATAATATTTTTTGCAGGAAATATTATGTCCTTCTTGGTGTACTTGGCACCGGTGTAAGAGCTCGATTTCATATTAGATCTTGTCAATTTTAACACTACCAAAAAAAGCACCTGCATTTTACGGGTTTTTTCTTGGATTTCAGGCCTACATTTTACAAGATCTATAAGAGAAAATCGACAGAAGAATTTCAGTCCATTCCCTATTCAGTTGCCTTATTCAGTTCGATGTTGTATCTGTATTATGCCTTTCTGAAGAAGAATGTGATCATGCTTATAACCATCAACAGTGTTGGATGTGTCTTTGAAGTTGTTTTTCTGACCATCTTCATGGTTTACGCAACTCATCAATCAAAGGTTGTTCTTACCCTTAATTTTCTCAAACTTTTGTTTGATACTATCAATTTGGATGAATCCTTTTTCAACACTTCGTTTGAGATACGTAGACTCAACTATAAGATGTTAGTTTAGCCTTTTTTAAGTCATTATATTCAACAGAGTTTTCGATATATTTGAAGTTGGGAAATGAATTTTTTCAATCACTTCAATTATTTTTCAACAATTTGTTCAATTTATGCTAACTCAACTTCTTACTTTTGCAGATTTTTACCACAAAGCTTCTCATCCTATTCAATATAGGAACACTGGGATTGATCATTGGATGCACATATTTTCTATCAGAAGGGCATAAGAGAGTGAATATTGTTGGATGGATCTGTTCAGCCTTTTCTGTCTGTGTTTTCGGTGCTCCTCTTAGTATTATGGTAATTTGTTTTTAATGTCCCTTAATTAAAAATTACTAAAATTTACAAAATAATTTAACAAAATTTTCATATATTTTATTTAATGCAGAGGCAAGTGATAAAGACAAAAAGTGTTGAATACATGCCACTTTCTCTCTCGGTATTTCTCACACTATGTGCTATCGTATGGTTCTTCTATGGTCTTTTCATCAAGGATTACTACATAGCTGTGAGTGCATTATAAAACTCTTAAAATTCATATTTCATATTCTATTTTTTGGTTAATTATTAGTCACATTCTTAAGTCTCCCATTGTATGCGTATGCTAAATTATTTATGTTATTTATTTCTTTTATATTTTCCCTAAAACCCTAATATTTCTTTCTCTCT